GATTTTTAATGTGTCCTGTTATTCTCTTTTCACAGCAATTTTCCAAGCAGCTTGAGGAAACCATGGAGAAATTTGCACTAGGCAAAATTAAGATTCTTATATGCACAAATATAGTAGAAAGTGGGCTTGACATTCAAAATGCAAATACTATCATAATTCAGGATGTTCAGCAATTTGGTCTGGCACAGTTGTATCAGGTTCATCGCTTTCTGCTTTCTTTTCATCTCAGAGGTCATTATGAATTGCTAAAGATGGCTGTAGACGAAATAGAAGAATTGAAGTTTTATCTGGAAAAACTTGCACATAGCAATTGCGTCTGCTGCTCCCATGCCCTGAAGCTCCTTCGAAGGCTTTTAGATATTTGGCATATGATTGCAATTTTGTGTTTTACATTTTATATGGAATAGTTACAAGGAAATAACCAGGTTCCATTTCGTTTTTCATCCATAGAAATGCATTACACACTGTTCCACATGAACAAAGGAAAATATTATTTCTGCTCTTTTTCATTCTCAATCTCATCATTAACATTGTTTTCATTTTGCAACTCCAATAGTTACGTGGAAGGGTTGGACGTGCAGATAAGGAAGCTCATGCTTATTTGTTTTACCCTGATAAGTCACTTTTGTCCGATCAATCATTGGTGTGTACTTTGTGCCAACATTACTTTTATCAGTATCTGATTATATTCTCAAATCTGTTGACATATGATTTATAAAAGTAACTGTGGTCATGGTTGTGCTTTAGGAGAGGCTTGCAGCTCTTGAAGACTGCTGTGAACTTGGACAGGGTTTCCAACTCGCTGAAAGAGACATGGGTATAAGAGGGTTTGGAACCATCTTTGGTGAGCAACAGACGGGGGATGTAGGAAATGTAGGAATTGATCTTTTCTTTGAAATGCTCTTTGAGAGCTTGTCGAAGGTATTTTCTGGATCCACCTTTTTTATCTATTGATCTTTTATGGTCTTGCTGCATAGCAGAATGGCTTTCTCTGGTTTTGAGTCTTTTTTATGCTTTGTTCATGTAACTGCATAAGTTATATCCTTATGGGCAATAACTTAAGACTACCGCTGCTACAGAGCAGGATTTACTGACCAAGTTATACTTATTATTTGTGTTTGAAGCTGGCAGTTCTAGTCATTGGTTTCTACTAAGTTGGAAACATGTGACTTTCATTCATTATAATATATATATTTTTTATACCAGGTTGAAGAGCATCGTGTAATTTCAGTTCCTTACCATTCAGTGCAGGTATTTCTTACTTTTGGAAATTTGTTTAATATAAATATTTGCATCAACTAAGTGAAGGTCATTAATATGTTTTGGTTAAATATCTGTTTTGTTGCTCTTGAGGTCATACTGCAAACTTGAATACAATGAAGCTTGGAAGTTCATTACTGTCTTACTGAGATCAAGACACCTTGCTGGGTATTAAACTTATAAAATGAATGCAATTTTTAATGTCTCAAATTGCAGCAAATAGACCTGTTTTAATGCCAACTACATATATGCACATGCTGCATTATTTGCAAGTATCTTAAACCATGGTTGTAGTAGAACACTGCTTAGAAGGGTGCGTTTAAGTGGTCTTTTTGATATGCCCTGAAAAGTGTTTCAGATTAAAGTATGACTCCTCCCTTTGAAGGCCAACAATAAAAAGACCATGACTAAGTAGATGAATGCACTGCCTGTTATATGGTTACATCACGATTGTTTCTGAAGCATCGAGCAGACTCATGCATGTGAAGTCAAAGTATATCTTTTAAGTTGGTTTTGTTCAGCTGGATGCCTTACCTTATTTGTGAATTATGGTTTTTAATGTATGCACTCCTACTTAACAATTTCTTTACCCTGTTAATTGATCCCGTTAATAATATTAAAGATCATATCCAAAGATTGTAGCACATTTGATTTAATTTCAGTTAGTGAGCATATGAACTTAAATCTAGAGCGAACTTAAATCTGATTTTTGTGAATTCTAACCTATTTTGTGTTTCTTTGTGCTAGATGGATATAAATATAAACCCTCATCTTCCTTCAGAGTACATAAATATTCTGGAGAATCCTATGGAAATTATTAATGAAGCTGAGAAAGCTGCTGAAAAAGATATATGGAATTTGATGCAATTTACTGAGAATTTGAGGCGGCAATATGGCAAAGAGCCTTATTCCATGGAAATTCTTTTGAAGAAATTTTATATAAGGCGAATGGCAGCTGACATTGGGATCAGCAGAATCTATTCTTTAGGAAAGATGGTTGGCATGGAAACAATGATGAGTAAAAAGGTTTTCAAGCTGATGACAGATTCAATTACTTCTGATGCTATTCGGAATTCCTTGGTCTTTGAGGAAGATCAAATAAAGGTCATTATTTGACTTTGACAATTCTTGTGGTGTTTGTCTCTGGGGTTTCAGTTCTAATGTTGATTATTTTCCTTGATCTGCATGCCCTACTTCTCAAGGGAGTACATAGACTAACCAACCATAGCTCCATTGCTCCTTATGGGGAACAGGCTTTTTTAAGTTTATATTTAATGAAATCAAGGGACCTGGACCATTTAAGTCTTGTGCTTCACTCAGGAAAACCTAAAATTATGTAGCTGAATTTGCATAATTATGTCTTAAAAAATAAAGAAAGAATGCTTTGATTTTCTTGTTTTTACTTTCTTTTTCTTTACTAGTAATCCTTCTATAATCCGAACTGATGCATGCTTTTTGCTTCCCACCAGAAGCTTCATCTCATAGGATTAAATCTTTGGTAATTAATATCTTTACTTACCCAATCCATGAGTATGCACTTTGAAATCAATCCATGTGTTTTTGTGTTTGAAACAGTAGGTGGTATTTTCTGATCTTCTTTTTGAGGTCATTCTGATTCTTTCCTCTGTTATGTATGTTCCAGGCAGAGCTTCTTCTGGAGCTGCCCCGAGACCAACTTCTTAACTGGATATTTCAGTGCTTGGCAGAACTTCATGCTTCACTGCCTGCTCTTATAAAATACTAGATCTCTTCATGGAACTGTCACTCTATAGGAAGCTTTCCCAACCCTGCATATCACTAGGTAAATTTGTGGAAATCACAAATCAGAATCTATTTATGACTCCAATACCTTTGGGTTGCTACCTTTATTGTACTGCCAAAACAAAATGCTATTTTTTAGAATCCAGGAGAATGCTGAAAGAGTGAAACAAATCCACAACAGCAATACTTAAATTATCAGCAGTTCTTCATCACAGAATATGATCAGGTCTGCACTGGAGCTGTTTTGAGGTGAGGCAAGCTTAGACTAAAAGAGTTTAGTTTGTCATAGTCGTGTCTTTTGTGCTCTTGACTGGCTTTGAGTTTGCAGAACGCTGAAGTGTCAAATAGCGACCGAAGTAAGCTGCTGCCTAAATGGTTGGGGTGATTCCAAAAATTCAGAAAAATGGCTGACAGGATCTGCACCTGCAGTTAGTAAGGGAAAATTCTGATGGAAATCTTGCAATACATTCCATAGAAGCTGCGTGTTTTTCTTTTTTTTGGGCATCTCAAGGTCGAGTTGGATTTGAGTTCAGTCTTCACAATGAATTGACGTTAAACAGAGTTATAAAAGGACAAGGAACTGGTGACATGCAGTAGTAGTGATTGTACAAATTCTTTCAGAAAGAAACACTTGTCTTATTGTAATTAATAGCACAAAAGCTATAAATAAAAAGAAGAGAAAAGAATGAATCAGCAGAGAGATTGTATTTTACCAAAAAAAAGAAAAAGAAAAGAAAGGAAAGCAGAGAGATTGTAGCAGCTGAAACACTCAAGTGAAGCCTGATCTTTTCCCCTAAATTAAAAATGTTTAGATGGTGGAACCAACTTGTTGGTCAAGTGGATATTTGTATTATGTGATGGATAGATATATGTTGTACTCATTTTTATTCATGATTAAAGAGTCAGAATGCAATTACAGTTAATAGGTTCCTTGGCGTTTTGATAAATAGAAGAAGAAGCTTGACTGGTTGGTGGCTATTGTAGTTGGTAGTTAGCATGCTTGCACTGTATCACTTCCAGATTGCGTTGCAACTGCAAAAGCTTTTCAGACTTGCTTACAGTACAGAGATCGTTTGCTTGGAGTTGGGGAAGCACAAACCATCCAAGGTTTAAACTTTGTAAAGGGTAAAGGACCATGGTTAAGGGCAAGGGACCCACTGCAATTTTAGATTAGCAGGTCAGTATCAGTACTGTACTCTTTTTGCTGAGGGTTCAAATGTTTCCTGCTGCTTTCCCATCGAAAAAGCTCCACCCTTTTGACGCCCTGTGTCTCTGTTTTTTAGGGCTTCAAAGTTGGGTTGGTTCTGGAAATTGGAATCCCAAGAGAGAGAGAGAGAAAAAAAAAAATGAGCTTTCAAGATGTGCAGAATGGTGCCAGGCCATCCTCCTCAAACTCAGTGGCTTCTAGGACTAGGAGCCCATCACAAGCTGTTGCTGCTGGAATTTTCCAGATTAACACCGCCGTGGCTGCTTTCCGTCGCCTAGTTGATGTCATCGGCACCGCCAAGGATACTCCCGATCATCGCGCCAAACTGTTGCCTCGACTCTCTCTTCCTTTGAACATCATAGATCTATTTCTTGCTTTCTACTGATTTTTCTAACAAGTTCCGTCCAACGACTGGCAGGCATAGCACAAGACAGGGAATTCTGCAGCTGGTGAAGGAAACTTCTGCGAAGCTCAAGTCATTGAGCGAATCCGATCGTGACTCCGATGTGAATGTCTGTCTCACTTTACCTGCTATTTCTTTCCATCTACTTCTTTCTTTTCAATCCTACAAATTGATTGATTTTTGTTGAAATCAAATCTTGTGTAGGCAAGCAAGAAGATAGAAGATGCAAAGCTTGCAAAAGATTTTCAGAACACATTGCAGGAATTCCAGAAAATTCAGCAGCTGGCCTCTGAGCGTGAGTCAATGTACTCCCCTTACGCTCATGTACCCTCCTTACCATCAGTGTATGTGTCTATGCTTCTGCTATCATCTGCCTACGTATTGTTCTCTCTCTCTCTCTCTCTTTCCCAAAAATCATAATCTCTTGCCTCGCACATGCAGCTCTGGCTCTGATGAATCTTCAGTACCTGCTGCGGCTCAGGAGAGACATCCTTTTCTCATGGAACAGAAGCAGTGAGTGCATCTATTTGATATTTTTCTGCTAAATTAGGCCAGCTACATTGGTTTCATTTGCTATCAAGCCCTTGTACTCAATTCTTTCAAAATGAAAATCAGCAGACAGGAGGTAATTCTTCTTGAAAATGAGATTGCCTTCAATGAGGCCATGATTGAGGAAAGAGAGCAGGGTATTAGAGAAGTAGAAGAGCAAATAGGACAAGCAAACGAAATATTCAAGGACCTGGCTGTTCTTGTCGTTGAGCAGGGTGTTGTTATTGGTGAGATGCCAAATACCCATAAGCTGCATCATTCATTCAGCTTAATCTTCTTGCCTAAGTAGCTATCTTCTGGTAATGTTTTCATAAACAGATGATATTTCATCCAACATTGATGCTTCATCGGCTGCAACAACGCAGGCTAGAGTTCAACTGGTTAAGGCTTCCAAAAGTGTGAAGTCCAGATCCTCATGGGTAAGCTTTGAACATCTTCTTTTCACTTTTAGGCTCAAGCATCACATTAGATGTAATTAGATAACATCTTGCCAAAGATTGTATAGGATACATTAGGTACACACATGCATTAAATTAAATTCAAATTGCCTCATGTTATACTCTTGACCATGAATACTTTTACCTAGTATGATTCTGAGTATCACTGTGGAAACTTTCACTTAGTTTGATGCGTTTTATCTGCTAAACAAGATTTTGTTTAAGGAAAAAATTGTTCTAGCAGCCGTGTGATTTTAAATCACTTGGTATTTTATCTTTTTTCAGCAATGCAATGACCTCTGGAAAACCCAAATTTGCAGATATGTGATATTGCCCATGATAGATACACAAACACTAGTTTTAGCTCTAATCCATTACCTTAAAGGCCCTGTGCCAGAAAAGTGGCTTATTACTGAACATAGCCTCCGAAAAATATCTTACAACCTTTTTTCTCTTGAATATTGATGGCTTTGCTTCTTTCCTTTTTTACTTGCTCGTTTTGGATGTTGTCTTAATGTTTCTGGTACTCAATGTGTTTGGTTGGCAGTGTTGGTGGGTGCTGGGAGTATTGGTATTGGTGGTCGTAATCTTTCTGCTCATCCTTATCTTTTAGTCCCAAGGATTCATCATTGATGGACTCTTCTTTATTGTTTGACAACAGTTTTGTGTATTATTTGGTACTTGTTTGTTACGCTGGATTGGCTTTTGTTTGAGCTGAACTTCATGGTTTGTATCAATTTGATCTAGAATCTAATTTCTTTTCCATATGCAGCCCGCAAGAAATTGAGAAATTTCTGTCAAATTGTGCAATTTCACATAAAGTGCCTGTGCAAATGAAAAAAAAAAAAATGTGCACCACATAAATAATTGGATTTTGATATTGACATAGCAAATGGCTATTTTAACCATCCATTTTTGGCTGGCATTGCCTTTGGGGCATCAACTTTTCAGTTTTAAGGCCATTAATTCGTTTCTCATTTTTGGTTAAATGCCAAACTTTAGTCTCTAAACTCTATATTTTGGACATTTTTGGTCCTTAAACTATTTTCAGCACTTTCTTAGGATCTCAATTCTACAATTGCACTTTTTTCTTCCTTGTGTAAGTTTGCACCTTTTTCCTCGTGTAAGTTTAGTGATTATGTGGTACTTAACTCACCAAAAAATTTTATTTTTCCTTCATATTTTTTATGACATGTCTATTCTAACAAAGTCTCCTAAGTTAGACAAAATATGTAATGTTTATGTCTGCAATTTTATCTTAAATAGTAAAATAATAAATTAAAAAAACTATTCACCAATTAAATTTCTTTATAAATTAAAATATTAAAATTTACAAAACATAAAAAATGCCTCTAAAATCTTCTTCTTCCTCCTCAAAACCTCAAATTTCTTTCTCACTAGAAGCAATTTTGAACACTTTAAACCTATGTTTGGATAAAAATTAGTAAAAAAAAGGAAGGAGAGGGGAGGGGAAGGAAAGGGAGGAGAAGGGAAGGGAAGGGAAGGGAAGGAAAAAGT